TCGTGAAATGTTGGCACAGAGGGCTCTTGTTGATTTGCTGGCCCGCCTTCACTTAGGGCGGGCACGAGGCTTGATGGGGCCTTAGCCCAGAACATCTACATCATGGCAAGGCCCCTTCTTGAGGGCTCAATCCTCACATTCCATCCCCCTTAGCTTCGAAAGTCTGCTGAGATGCTTACTTCGCAGGTGCCTTCCCTTTCAGCATCCTCTCATATTCTGCCACCACCTGAGGAGTTGTGTCAATCAGTTCCTCTCTGGTGAACCACCGGTCTTCTTTTGGATCCGTATGATGCTTGAATCTGACGCGATATTCTCTCTTAGGTTTAGGAGGTCTTCCTCTACCCAAAGGCTTCTGAACAGGCAGATCGCTGTGATCCACAATGTTGTCGATGTCCACTTGACCATCCATGGTTGGGGCCAGCATCGATCTCCTTGAAGGGAATTGATCAGTCTTAGCGAAAGGTGCAAGCTTTGAGGCATGAAAGACAGGGTGAGTGCGTAGGTGACCAGGGATACGGATAACATAGGTAGGACCATCCATCTCATCCCCCACAACATCCAGGACTTCCCAAGGACAAAAGTACCGAGGCATTAGTTTTCTAGAGATACCAAATTCCTGTCCTAGCTCACTAGCCTTGACCCAGACACGTTCCCCTACCTGAAATGAGGACTGTCGTCGATGCTTGTTCTCAGAAGCAATCATTACTTGCTGAGCTTTCTTAATATGCTCGACAACTTGTTGCAGCAACTTCTCATACTGCACACCATACTCAAGTGTGCCTAAGGTTGCAGAGGATCGGTTTTCAGGTAGGAGGAAGTGAAGCTGGTTAGGACTAACGCCGGTACTGCTGTGTACAGCGTTGTTGTATAGGCTGGCGATGAGAGGCAACTTCTCATCCCAATCATCCTGGCTGGGCTTGATGTAATGCCGCAGCAAGTGCTGTACAACTCTATTCATTTTCTCGGCCTGTCCGTTGGCTTCGGGATGATTCCCTGAAGTCATCTGAAGTTGACTGCCCATCTGCTCAGCAGTCTTCTTCCACAGCTCACTTGTGAATCGGACATCTCTGTCACTAACGATTGACTTCGGAAGTCCAAAATCACGCACCCAGTTGTCCATAAACAACTTGATGACGTGGTCAGTCCTTGCGGTCTCTGGCATGGCAACTATTCTAGCGAACTTGGTGAATCGATCAATGATGACGAAGATGTGCCTCTTGCCACTCTTGCTGGTCACCAGGGTATCCATGAAATCCATGGAAACACTCTGTCCTGGACCAGCGGGGATAGGTAAGGGCTTCAGCAACCTAAGCGGTGCTTGAGTTCGCGGCTTGTCCCGCTGACAGACCCGACAGGTCTCTACATACTTCTTTGCGTCATCTAGCATTCCAGGCCACCAAAATCGTTGTACTAGATTAACACTCGTCTTTTTGTAACCAAAGTGTCCGGTTGCATCATGGCATTCTCCTAAAAACAAACTACGCAAACGTTCACTAGATGGAACTACTAACCTTTTAACACCGGCCTTATCAAGATAGAGAAGCCCGTCACCATCACAAACTCACTTTCCGTGGCCTTGTCTTTTGCCTGAAGCCTTGTCTTTTGCCTGAAGTTTGCGAATGATGTCCATCATGACAGGGTCTTCCTGATAGGCTCCCACCAACGATTGAGTTACTTCTTCCAATACACCAAAGTCATAAACTAGCGCCCCTAGGTAGTCTGCCCTTCGTGATAGCGCATCTGCAACCTCCTTGTACTCTCCCTTCAGATACTCAAGCTTGAAGTCATATTGATCTATGACCTCAATCCATCGCTTGAGTGCATCAGAGAGAGCCGGTTGAGTCTTGATCCATTTGAGTGTCTGATGGTCAGTCCTCAAATAGAAGAAACGTCCAAACAGAAAATGTCTCCAATGGACAAGTGCCTTGTAGAGAGCATAGAGTTCCCTTTCATAGGTGGACTCTGCCAGTTTCTTAGATGGCATCTTCTTACTCATGTACTCAATCGGTCTCTTCTTCCCATCCTGCTGAGCCAGCACTGCGCCAATGTCATATTGGCTTGCGTCTGTGGTCACTATAAATGGCTTCTGAGGATCGGGAACCATGAGAACTTCATGATTCATGAGTGCATGCTTCAATCGCTTGAAAGCACCCTCGCACTCATCACTCCAGTCCCACGGCGTGTCAAGTCGAGTTAGATCCGTCAAAAGAGAGGCGACTGTAGAATAGTTCTTTACAAAGTTCCTATAGTAGCCGCACATTCCCAAGAAAGATCTGACCTCAGTGACAGTCTGAGGTCGTGGCCAGTCTCGAATACTAGCCACCTTCGCATCTTCCGGCCTAATCCCTTCCGAGGAAACTTCATGACCCAAGTATAATATCTTAGTGCGACCAAACTCACACTTCTCTAGGTTGACCTTATACTTGTGTTGTCGCAGGAGTGAAAGTACAGTCTCAACGTGTTGTGCATGCTCCTCGGCAGACTTACTAAAGATCAGAATGTCGTCAATGTAAACCACGACAAACTTATCTAAATGGTCATGGAAGATCCGATTCATAGCGTGCTGGAATGTTCCCGGCGCATTGCAAAGACCAAAGGGCATCACTACAAAATCATACAGACCATATCGAGTCTGAAAAGTTGTCTTGTGTTGGTCCTCAGGTCTTATAGCAATCTGATGATAGCCGAATTTCAAATCTATCTTGCTATAGTACTTGCATCCCTGCACCCTATCCAGTAGGTCGTCTATGCGAGGTAGAGGCTCTGCGTTCTTTACTGTGATGGCATTGAGGCCTCTATAGTCAATGCACATCCTCAATGTACCCCCCTTTTTTGGTACAAATAGTACTGGAGATCCGTAAGGGGAAGTACTAGGCCGGATCCATCCCTTCTCTGTGAGCTCTTTCAGTTGTTGTCGAAGTTCATCTAACTCGGCGGGAGCCATCCTATAGATCCTTCCCTTTGGTGTTTTACTCCCTGGAATGATTTCTATAGCGTGGACAACTTCCCTTTCTACAACTCCTGTAGGCTCTTCGAACAGATCAGGGAACTTAGCAACGACGTGTTCTATCTCTGGGGGTGTTTTAACGGCCTCCCCTTTTTCGGAGACATACACTAGGTACATACCCTCCTCTTGGTTCTGTTTGTAATAGTTATAGAACGCTGATGCACACAAGCAGCCATAGGTATCTATAATGCTATTGGCTTTGAACTTAGTCAATCTGACTGTTCTGCCATCAGGCAACTTATGTTTTAGCACCTTCTTGTCCCAATCGAACTGGGGCTTAGCAACCTCAAGGTAGTACATGCCTAACAACATGTCAAACGACAAGTCGTTGCTAACCAGGAACGAAATCTTATGATTCAGTTCCCCTCCTCCATAGGAGAAGGTACAGATTACATTCGTGATATAGTCTGTGACAATCATGCGCTCCTTGTTGGCCAAAGTAGATGCTACTGGTCTACTAAGGTGCCGTACCCGGTCCTTTAGGTGCAACCTTTCCGAACAGTCGTGACTTATATAATTCCGCGTGGATCCAATGTCTATGAAGGCACCACATTTGCGGCCTCCCACATCCACTTCCACCACGAAATGTTCCCCTCTAGGACCTTTCTTTAGTGCCACCCAAGATTCGCGAGGGTCCTTGTTTGACCACTCGCTTTCTAGATCTTCTAATGCTTCAGACACATCTAACGTACAAAATATAGTTTGGTCTATATGAGTCTGCGGGGTGACTAAAGAGTCGTTAGCTATGGCCTTCTCATGAAGTGGGGAGGGTATCTGACCCACTTCACCCTGAGTAGAAGCAGCTAAAACTTCCACCGGCCTCACGTGTTTCCCGAGCTAGAAGCCTGGGAAGAAGATGCCCCCATCCTAGGAGGTATCTTCTGCGTGACCTTTGTGTTTTGACACTTGTACTGGGTGTGTCCGTATTCACCACAGTTTATACAAGCGCCACGCACTCGGCGGTCCCTCCACACGTCTTGATCAAGACCTGCCTTAACCCAATCAGCCACTTTGGTCTGATTGAAGGCGTCCTTCCCTTGACTTTTTGGTTGGCCCTTCACTCGGCCTCCAACCTTGGCCTTAACTATTGCGGCGTGGGTCCCATCGGACTCAACCATCAATAATTTAGCCCCCTTCCTCTTCCATTCCTGCGGACTCTTCTTCTTCCTCGTGTCATTCTGAGAAGGTTGAGCGTTTCCTAGAGTGGCCTCCAAATCTAAGGCTTTCCTAGACAACGTCTCAAAGGAGTGATACTCGAGGCGAGTCTCGCTGGCCAACAAGTTTATGAGATTCTCAGGTAGACATCTCACAAACGTGGTCAGTAGGAACTGGTTGTTGTAGTTTATACCGGGAACGACGCTGAGGCTCTCTATTGTAGTCGTAAGCTCCCTGATTGATTTGAACTTTCGTTGGTCTAGTCTGTTTATCGCATCAGTGGCCATTTGTGCCTGCTGAGGATTGTGCCAACGAGCTTCTACCATTTCCATGAACTAGTCTAACGTGATTGTCCTAGCACAGTCCGCCATGCGTCGTCCGTACCCAGCCTTTGTCACTACACCATCCAGCCATTTGGCTGCCTTACCCTCGAGGTAAGATGCAGCAGTAATCACCTCCTCCTCCTGCAAAGTCCTCTTTGCCTTCACCCAAACC